TTATATATATTCCAGGATAACTAACCAGAAAAGTAAAGAATACTTAATACTGAATGGTTTATGGAAAGCCAAATCTAAAACTCATATTTACTTGTTTTTAAAAGTGCTCCTGAAGGATATCCCATCATAAATTCATTCTGAGGTGCATCAAAAACGCCTTAAATCTCAACTCAATCATTTAGTGTTCATCGCATCGTTTGAAAACATTTCATCTATATGTAATATTTAAATGGCAATGCACAAGCATAAATCTCGGGGTGTAAAGAATTCTCGGCTTGAGCATCTGCGCTGGCAAATTTAAAGCCATTACACTAATAAATAATCTGCCACAAATTTAGCACATTGCCATCGATATAATACACCAGCATCAGCTTCAGCTTCAGCTTGAGCGGCAGGAGCCACAACCGCAGAGCTTTCCGCTAAAGACACGCCCACCGACAAATCCGAAACCGAATCCGAATCCCAATCGCATAACCCCCACCGAATCCCTGCACACACAGACACACATGCTTCATGAGGATGTTTATGCCGAAGGATGAGCAGGATGCCAGGGCTCAAGGAGGTTTATGCCAAGTGCTAAAAGGGAGCCAGGAAAAAATTCATATGTCTGCTACTGCTACTGCTACTGCTACTCCTGCTGTGACTGTGGCTGCTTTCAATTGCTTTTGGACGAGTTCCCAGACGACGGAGCGGAGTGTTGGCCATCATCATCGATGGCTGCTTTCAATATCTAATAATATTGCGCATACGCCACGTTGCGAGATTTCAGCTCGCAGCATCCACAGTTGATGCCGCTGAAGCTGTTGCTGGTTCACTTACATCGAGTGCGTGTTGGCGCAATAATCAACAGTTATATTATGAATGCACAAACATATCGACTACAGTCGAGGTCAAGGAAATAGGCATTTTCTAAATGAATTTTATGTTTTCAATTTTTTTATGCAAAGTAAGGCATAAGTCTAGCAAGATTATAAATCTAGACCGATTACTTGACTTTGTATGTATTCCAAAATTAAATATTCCTATCCTTTGGATGTACATAAATGTTTAATGATAATATAGATATATCTTCTGACCACAATTGTAAGTACAGAACCACATGGTATATATGTTCATAATGCGCACTTTAACCCCTTTCGAAAGGGGGAAACACAACGACCAAAAACACACACACACACCCACACACACTCATATGACACTCCATCTAAGTGATACGATAAATTTGGGATTTTCTTTGCATTATGTGCAGATTTTGCAGATTTTCCTTTGCCACACCCAAATATTGTTGCCCCCTTCTGTTGAAAACTTTTTTAATAATAAATAAAAGTGCTTAACTTAATTCGTGCTCTTCTCTTTCGCTCGCTCTGTATGCTCTGTGGATTTTCCACTTGTTTTTCCTCATTTTATTTGTTTTTTTGATTTGACACGCCCCCAATGCCCCCGTCCTCCTCCTCCTCCTCCTCCTGCTCCTTCTCTCAGCGCACACAATGTGTGGAAATAATTTTTCGATTATTGTCAAGTTTTGCTTTATTTTCCTACCTCGCTCGCTCTATCGCTTGGGGTTTTTCTTCTATTTTCATGTGGCATTTGTGGCTGTTTACCTCGCCAGCGGCCAAAATGCAATTTATGTGTTGAGAGCGAGTTTCGCTTTGGCTTTCATTTTATTTTCGCTCACCATTCGCTTGTTTGTGTTTCTTCTTTCAATTTTTCTTTATTTTCCGAAGGTTTTGCTTTTATTTTGGATGCTCTCGCTTGTGCTAGGTTATTGGCAGTTGTCATTTGTGTGTGATTTACGTTTATCGCTTCGAGTCAAGCGTGTAATTTTCTTATTGCATCTGACAAATGGGGAGGTAATTTTTGGAGGGATGTGTCCATAGTTGGTGGTTTTACACAAAACTTGAAGAAGTAGTAAAACAGAAGTATGATTATAAAAATTATCGGGATTCTGTAGAGGTTGCTTTCAGTGAATACTATATCGATTTTTCGGGACTAATGTGGATTAACTCATGTGAGTTTTTAAATGAGTTTGTGATTAGAAAATAATTTCAGTATTATATATTGAATAGGAAATTCTTGACAAACGAATACATTAAATTTATATTAGATTAAGGTTTAGAATTTATTGGTATCCAAGAAATTGAATACAACCTTAAAGGAGTTTAAAACAGAACTATATTCAAAATAAATAAATTAATTTTATATAATAAAAACGAAGCAAAACAAGAAAATTTTTAGTTCTTAAGCTTAATACAGCTTAACAGTTTAGTAATTTATAACAATAAAATAGCTAAAGCCACCAATCAATCAAGGAAAATATTTGTAAAAGTATGTATTTATTTTGCAAGCCTTTGGCCAAAGGTCACTTTCTGAGGCCTAAACATTTTCATTCGATTTACATTTCCCTTCAATATTCTTACGATTTAACAACCTGACTGACTAACTTGCAATTTCCATGGCGAGCGTTTGAGAAAATTTTTCAGTTCAATTGGAAAATCCATTATTACCCAGCCAAGCAAATGGAAAATGGGAAAATAACATGTACACATAGGTGTGTGCATATGCTCGTGTGTGTGGCTTGAATTTTTCCGTTTTCATCGCTTTATTCATATATCAATGAACTCGTCCTAGATGTGTCTACGCATTGACAAAACATTTTCCAAAAAGCAATTAAAATTTTAATAAAATAAACTAAGCAAGGAAACGAAATACACAGGAAAAAGGGAGCTACAGACACATGAATGATACAAAGATGAAATGTGGAAAAGCTTCGATACAATAGATGACATTAAAAATCCATACAAAAGATAAACACATTTTTCTGCTTGCTCAGGGCAATACATACATCGAAGAGGAGCATGGAGAAAAGATTAAATTCACTTAAGTGCAAAGTATGCAAATGACAAACCGAGAAGGAGACCGATAGAGACTAAGAAGAGTGAGAGGACCGAGAGGAGGTTATGGAGGGGACCCGACATATATGAAGTGCCTGGCATGCCATACACACAGAGACACACACATCCATATATAGAACCACATGCCTGCATTTGAAGCCAGAAATATTGTAAATTCAAATTGAAATGCATGTGTGACATTTGCCGTGCACTCACCCACAGACGGAGAAGGAGAGAGAGAGAGAGAGGAGAGAGAGAGAGTGGAGTGGAGGGCAGCAGGAGATCTTGCAGATTCATAGATACAAATGCTTGTGGCAGAGTCAGAATACAAAGGAGTCCTGCCTTCCTGCCTGCTAGTTGGAGCTCTGACAAAATTGAATGCAATTTGACAAAAATCATAGTCTATAATTTCGGGCCGCCAGCTTAGCTGACTTCTTACCAACTGGACCTTTTGCCTGGGTCTTCTGTGTCCTTAGCTCCTCGTATTGCTTCCCTGTGCTACGCCTGTGTCACACACATCCTACCATTACGAGTTAATAATTGAACATTTTTGGTTTTAGGCAGAGCTAAATTGCTATAATTTTTTGTTGGCCTTTTTTGATTGGAGGACTGTGGCTTCTTTTGGGTTTACAGTGCATATTATGAGTGTATAATGTGGGAAATTGAAATTATATTTCATATATTTGAAACCTTTAGTATATAATAATATACAAATTTATTCGCTCATGGTACCATGATAAGCGCAGATTTTATTTATAAATACAGACAATAAACCATTTACATATTTCCTCAGAGATAATTGTAATTCTCTGATAGAATTATATAACTAATTATGTAAATAATATAGATAAAATTCTTACAAATTAAATTTGATTTAATTTTTATTAAATATTCTGTATAATATGGGTTCTAGAGTTCTGTTCTACTTGTTCCAAGAATATCTGTAGTAACAAGCTTGTCACAGAATTCCGACTTGGGAATTTCTAAGGCTTCTCTTTGCAACAGAATTGCACCTAAACACTCGGTGTCTTTATAATACTGAAACGCACTGTAATGCCACATGTACCGCATTCATGACCCGCTCATTCTGTCGGAGGCTGTGCAAATATTGCCGCAAAAAGTAGTGGCAGCAGCTCCGAGAGCGAGACAGATACAGATATACATATGTATATAGACATTTTTGTATTTGCTCGTTGAACTTGTGCACTCTGGCCCCAATGTCTCCTTCTCTCTCTCTGTGTCTCTCTATCTCTTTCGCTTCTTATGTCTCCTTCCCTGGGAGCACTCCCTCTTTCTCTCTCTCTGGATTTTGTGAATGACTTTTTGGCACTAATTAAAAGTAGCAAATAATTTTCTATGCCAACTCACATACACATCTACGCACCCGCACACACACTCACACAGTCGTCGAGTGTTGGAAAGAGAGAGAAAATGCAAATATGGCACAGCCTCGGCTCCAAAAAATCCCCTTTTGCACACCGCCCCTGCGACAATGACAATGCATGTGACAGTTTCGGTTGGCACCGTTGATAAGCGTCGCTTATTGTTCCTCTCTCTCACACACCCTATTACCATCCCTCTCCCTCTCCCACTCTCTCTATATATCCCATTTGACAAAAAAGTTGGGCAGCTTAAGTCGGAAAATTTATTATTATTTTTCTGCATTGCAGTCTGTGTGCAATTTTAAATGGATTTTAATTAGTTTTGAATTATTTCGGTTTTGGTTCTTTGGCATTTCATGTGCCATTTTGGCATTAAACTTTTGCCCATTATAGTATCCTGTGGTTTATGTAAAGTCAGGTTATTTTTGCAGAATAATAGATTACGGAGATATGTATTTAACTAGGAGATATCAGAAATAATTGAGTTTGTTTGTAGTTAGCATAAGTCAGAGTCAAATCTAACAAATCAGAGGCAATATTTATGTCGAAGCTTTGATTTATGTGATTTGAGTTCGATATTTTAATGTAAATAAATGTCTATAAAATTGTTTAAAGTTAGTTAGATGCTTACTTTATGTCTTACTATATAAATTAATAATTTTAATTTTGTTACCCAATGATACTTTTTAGTACCCCTTCCAAAGGAGTTCAGTTTTCAAAAACCATATAACTGCTTAAAAATTTGGTAACACTTTTATTACTTGCCAAAAAAACATGTTTATAATTAAAATAAACATTATTATAATTTATGTGAATGCTGGCTTAAATTTTCCATCTTGGTGTTGGATATTATTTCTTTCAACATACCCCGCCGGCCGCCTGCTCCTTCATGAGATTTAAGGCACTGCCGGCCCTAAACCAAAGAATCTGTCCTTCGTTAAATGAATGGTTTAATTGGATTTTCTCCGAGCTCCCATTATTCTTGATTTCGCATTCCACGGGTTTTCCAGGCGCAAGATCCTTCAAATTTAGCAACGATAACTTGCTCGAGGGTTGGATCTTATCGTAATCACCTGGATTGGCGAATGTCAAGGCTAGCATCCCTTGTTTCTTCAGGTTCGTCTCATGGATGCGAGCAAAGGACTTGACAATGATGGCTACTCCACCCAAATGGCGAGGTTCTAGAGCAGCATGCTCCCGGGAGGAGCCCTCGCCGTAGTTGTCCTCACCCACGGCGCACCACTTGATTTTGTTGGCCTTGTAATCACGTGCCACGGCAGGAACGGCATCAAATTGACCTGATTTCTGGTTCTTGACTTTGTTCATCTCACCATTCTCGGCATTGGTGGCTCCAATAAACATATTATTCGATATATTATCCAAATGACCTCGGTACTTGAGCCAGGGTCCGGCCGCACTTATGTGATCCGTAGTGCACTTCCCCTTGATCTTTATTAAAACCGCCATATCTACGTAATCCTGGCCATCCCATTTCTCAAATGGTTGCAGTATCTGCAGACGCTCCGACTTGGGATCTACATTGACCGTGACACTTTCACCATCCGCTGGCGGAGCCTGATAGGTGTCCTCGCCAGGATCAAAGCCCTTGGTGGGGAGCTCAGCGCCTATAGGTGGTTTCAATTTAAAAAGTTTCCCATCCGCTCCCTCAAGTTCGTCGCTTACAGGATTGAAATCGAGACGTCCGGCAATGGCCAAAGCGGTAACCATTTCCGGACTGGTAACAAAACAATGTGTGGCCGGATTGGCATCATTTCGTCCAGTGAAATTGCGGTTATATGATGTCACAATTGTGTTCTTTTCTCCTTTCTTGACATCCTTGCGATCCCATTGCCCAATGCAGGGTCCACAGGCATTGGCCAAAACTGTGCCACCAAATTTCTCCAAAACTTCAATGATTCCATCTCTGGCAATGGTGGCTCGAATCTGCTCGGATCCGGGTGTGACATTAAAGGGTACACAGGACTTTAAACCATGGCTCAAAGCATCATTGGCAATGCTGGCGCAACGGCCCATGTCCTCGTAGGAGGAATTCGTGCAGGAACCGATGAGGGCCACCTTAATGTCCATGGGATACTTATTCTTTTCGGAATCATCACCCAGCTTGCTGATGGGATGGGCCAAATCGGGTGTAAATGGGCCATTCACTAGGGGCTCAAGCGTATCCAGATTAATTTCGATGACCTGATCGTATTTGCAGCCCTCGTCGGCAGTGAACATCTTTTTGTATTTCTGGGCCTCCTCAGAGATTGCACCTCTTCCGGTGGCAGATAAGTAGGTGGTCATACGCTCATTGAATGGGAACAACGAAGTGGTAGCTCCAATTTCCGCACCCATATTGCAAATGGTGGCCATGCCGGTGCAAGAAATGGAGTCCACGCCTGGTCCATGGTATTCCACAATGGCACCAGTTCCTCCCTTGACCGTCAGGATCTCTGCTAGTTTGAGTATCACATCCTTGGATGAAGTCCATCCACTTATCTTGCCCGTTAGGTTGACACCAATTACAGTCGGACACTTGAGCTCCCAGGGAATATTGGCCATCACATCGACGGCATCGGCACCACCGACTCCAATGCATAGACATCCCAAACCACCGCCATTTGGGGTATGGGAATCGGTTCCGATCATCAGAAGGCCCGGATAGGCGTAGTTCTCTAGTATTATCTGATGGATAATTCCACTGCCGGGTTTCCAGAAGCCCAAGCCATATTTCGCGCACGTCGAGGATAGAAAATCGTAGACCTCTTTGTTGAGATCCTTTGCTCTGGCCAAATCCTTGTCGCCGCTCACTTGGGCCTCAATCAAGTGATCGCAGTGCACAGTTGACGGAACGGCTACCTTCTTCAGACCGGAGGAGATAAACTGGAGAAGAGCCATTTGAGCGGTGGCATCTTGCAAGGCCACTCGATCCGGTCGCAGTTTCAGATAGGATTTACCCCTCTCAATTTCTTGGGAATCCGGCTCATCCAAGTGGGAATACAGAATCTTCTCCGACAGCGTCATGGGTCGATTCAGGCGACCAGCAACACGATCCAGAGTCTCCTGCATCTTCTTGTAGGGAAGAAATTGATCTGCCTCGAAATTGGACACTGCCACATTGCTGTTCCGCAGATATTGAGCTGCATGGAAACGCCGGACCATGGATCCCGCCAAGTATATATACCTCTGTGTTCGCAGCGCCATTTCTATACTTCCTCAAGTTTTGTAGTATATATTTGTATATAAAAAAAAAATAGTTTGTGTGGCTTGAGTCAGAGATAGTTTCCGAGCTTGTTGAGTGTATACTATCGACTGCTTTGATTCCTTCAAGAGCTACCCATATCTCAGGCTTGATTGACACTTCAAATGTTCATATGCATCTACTTGAAACTGGATAATTAGGATTTAATTACTTCATCAAACACAATGGAACCTGGAGTGAGGACATGCCTAATAGCAACTATTAATTAAACACACGCTCCACACCACTCGTGGTGACCTGATGCACTCATATTTATTGGGTTAGCTCATTGTTCCGTGCTTATTTGATGCGAGCCAACAGATGCAGATACAAAGTGAGATCCATCGGAGAGGTGAGTGTACACGTCAACGGAATTGATGTTGCAAAAGAATCAGGGCTTGTGGGAGGTGCGGAGGTGCAGAGCCATCGATGGCAAAGGCCAACTGGCAGATAACTAGAGGCGAGACAAGAGGAGGCTACAAGGACTAGCAAACTGGACGAGTGACAAACAGATGGACAAGGGATGCCAGAATGCCAGGATGCCAGGATGCCCAGAATGCAAGCTGGCTACAAAAGTGTCAACTGCATGTTAGGCGGACGACAGTCGCCCGGTGGATGCTGAGCATCCTGCATCCTTCTGTGATTGTGTTTGGTTTTGCTGGCACCGCTGGCAGCGTGTCATAATGGACGATGTGGGACATTGGACAGGGGGGACTCTCGAATCCATGCTGCAGTCAGATGCCGGGGGGACAGCGGTAGTTGGCTGCACCACATTCAATTGAAATCGACGTGCCTGTTGGCCACAATGCCACTGCCGATCCTCCAGTTCTCCAGCCCAGGCTGATGTCCTGAGCCCACGGTAATGTCGTCCTTCACCACCACCACCACCACCACCACCACCTTTTCACCGCTACCACTTCCTGCCCATGGCATATGTACTTGTCCCGCATAAGTATGAAGCGGGGGCGGTGTAACGATGCCAAAAATTGATTGGCAACTACTTGACACACACACACACTCTGGACCGCAGAACTTTTCCTCCGCTGCCACTAGCACCTTACACTATAAAAATGTGTGGAAATTGGAACACCAAATGTCATGGTGACTCTATTATGTGATAACCTTACAGTGTTTATTCTGTTTGCTTTTGGTTTGCATCACCAGACAAGTCGATCTAGCCATGTCTAGCTAGATAAACGTTTTAGTAAAACCTGGATCATATAGTATAATTATTTATTGTTAGTAATATTGATGCAGTATCGATATATAGATATTTTCTGCCGTCCCTAGTCCATAGTTAAAGGTTACAAATAATATCAAAAAAGTAAGCTTACAGTGGTATTAATTTATATATAAAAAAAAACTACTCAAAGAAGATATTCTTGAAGTGCATTCACTTTGAGCGGTTTGTTGGAGCAGCAAACGTTGATTATGACTCTGTATAATTGATGGATTGATGCTTGTTCCGCTTCCAGCAATATCAAATTTCATTTTTGAAGCTATCCCACCATCCTGAGCTGAGCGAAGAGTGTTGAGTCAATTTAATTTTGTGACTGAAAATGCCAAGGTTGTGCAAGTTTCATCTCAAACACATGGTCATTCGATGTCATTTGACATCGCATATTAGATTTGCAATCCCGTGCCACCATGTCACCACCTAGACACCATTTGCTCCTCCCACTCTCTCTGTCTCTCTGTTGGAGAAGGAAAATGCAATTAGCTTAAATATATTTGCGTTTGTCCAGTGGCCTTGGTTGGAAAATGGCCGGAGTCAAATGGCTTGCGATACTCATTCGCATTCGTATATGCTTAAATTATGGCAGTCGAGGCTTTAAACTTTCGTGATAAATAATGAAAACTTATGTTCGAAAATTGAGAAATTGCGGTAAGCTGGACAAAGGAGTAGAAAAACATGGTTATTACTTGAGTTTAGGGGAATTCCGGATTAGTAGAGTTTGGGAATTGAAATATATTGATTTTAAAATATTGTATTACTGGAAGTATTTACATGATAGCTCTTTCTTATTCAAGAATTTAAAGTCGTGTTTGATTTGTCCCTTTTATTTAAAAAATAAAATATATAAGCTGCATTTAAATATAAATATTTAAATATGATTATTACTTGAGTTAAACTCGGATTAGTACAGTCTGAAAATTAAAATATCATCATTTTAAATTACTGAATTACTCGAAGTATTTACATGCTAGTTTATCTGTTTTAAGTATCTAAAGTCTAGTTCAATTGGTCCTTTAAAGTATAGATATTTCCAAAATGTATTATATATTTCATCCAGAATAAAGTAGATATTAAATAATAAGGCTGAAGTTTGAAAAACTTCATGACTTCTTCCTGGATAATAGAATAAATAATGACAAATTCTGTATTAAACTTAAATTTCTTTATAATTTTTTCGAAATCTTGAATTTTTAATCATTTTTGGAATCCCATTGGTTCTTCCATATTATTCCTTGCTTAATGTCATCCTGTGGTTGCTTTTGGAATATATACCATACTGACCGGCACGCTTCAAAGTTTCTTATGCTTTAGTGACTTGTAGTCTGATTGGGCGAATGCCCGAAAATTTCTGGTGAAATTTATGTACTGTCCAGAGAAAGGGTGGGTGAAAGTATGGCCATATGTAGACCTGATCCTGGGAACCATCGAGAGGCAAAGGCAATAGGAGGAGCAGGAGTGTGTAGGTGTGGCTGCTGTGGTGGCAGTGGCCAAAGTTGCAACAAAACTGAAACTTTGGACTGGCAAAAATTTTTAATCCTCGCTTTCTTCTTCTCGTTTTATTATTCCCAGCTTTTTTCTCACTCTTTTTTTATGTATTTTTTGTGTGTTGTGTTGGGGGTGGGTCTGGGCGAACAATACGTTGGTTGTTTTTGCAGTGAGCTTCAGCACAGCTTGCGGTAAAACTTTTCAATAATATTCCCAAAAGTCCAGTCCAGACGCCGATGAGTAGGAAGGCGAGAGATAGAGAGAGTGAGAAAGAGAGAGTGAGAGAGGGGGAATCACCGGAGTGCCCAGTGGCAGTGGCAGCGGAAGTGCCGCCATAGTTCGCCATCTAGCCGGGTATAGCACAGTTTTTGGCGCACTGGCAGCAATATTGCAATAATACCCCTCAAAAAAAAAAACAAAAATGTCTCACATTTGGCAGCCTGTTCCCAGGAGTGGTTACACTTGGTTAACTCCAATAGAACTTGCATTGAATAGCTATAAGCTAATTGTTGCGATTGCATTTCACATTAATTTTAATGCAATTTTAAAGTTATTTATGCCCTTTGTTATTGTTTAATCTGTCTGATTGCCGCAATGCTGCTGTTGATTAAACAAATTTATGTCAATGTTTGCGTTTTCTATTATTCAAAACAATATTGCATTGTCATTAATATGATTAGAAATCTGCAAATCTATTGGGTAATTAATAAAGTATTTTATCTGTTTACTAAAGCAGCCTCAAACTTTATTATGTTACAGCTTAATAGTATTTATTTCTTTGATGGTATCACATGCTTTTAAGGATTTTATAATATAACCTTATTGTTGTTCCTTCCAAACGATCATGAAATTCCAATTAAAATCCTCAGAGAGAAAGAAAAATCCGTATCTAGTCGAATGCGTTTCTAGGAAAAGCCTCTCCATTGAGGGAGTCTCGCATTGTTTTAGCGCGCCAAGCAGACAAATTCAGCATTTCCTGCACACGTGGCTTTGGCGATTTCCTTTTGTGCAAACATATTTTACCGCAATTGCGGCACATACTCATACACCGACACCGAGTTTCAGGGCGCCATTGAGGCATACATAAGTAACCGGGTCCCGAGTCCCTAGTCCCTAGTGCTAGGACCCAGTCCTTAGTCCCCTGAGCCCAAACTCTGATCCGGTCTGGTTCCCTTGTCCCCAGGATTCAATCCCCTGACCACTTCACTAGTCCTCCCAGTCCCATTCATATATATAAATATGGATTTTTGCAGCGCGTCTAAGCCATAAGTTGACCGCTCTTCCGCTGGCCTCGGTCCTTTATAAACCCCTTTGGCTATCCATTCATAAGCTCAATTCAGGCACAAGCCGAGCTCAGGGTTTTCGATTCCCCTTCCATTTTTCTTTTTTGCACAGCAGGAAAAATAGTTTAAAGAAGGTTAAACCTTTAGAAGAATATCATGAAATATTAAAGACAGGTTATTGATGATGGTATGTTATAGGTTGCTTATTTTATAGACATCTTACAAATTTATTTATTTCGAAATCAAATGTTATTACAAGTATCATAATTCTAACAAATTAAATAGTTTCTTAATATTATTTGTAATTTTTTGTTATATATTATTATAATTATTTTTCGTTTATAACTACAGTGTATCTAAGCTCTTTTGTTTCTTACTTCGCCTTGCCACCACTGCCATCGTCGTTGTGGCTCCCTTGATGATTTTTCCATTAGGAGCCAACTGGCTGCACTTGCCCACCTGGTCCAGCTCCTGTTGCTGCTCCAGATGCATCAGCAGCTCTACCCATTTCCGCGTCCCGCGACCCATTTCCCACTTTACGAACCCGGCTCAGTTACTGCGTCGCTTTTGTCTGCATTGTTTCAGTCAATAGACGCATTTGTGCGGGTCAGTTTGGCAAAAAGAAAGCCAGGTTCGGAGCCCAAATCCGCATTCTCCGGGGGAAGAGGGAGTAGGTAGGTGCACCGCACATAATTAGATTTAATTTGCAGCACACGGCGGTGCTATCCAGGTTTCGGAGTCAACTTTTCCTTTGCATGCAATTTTAATGCATAAATTATGCCCAACAACGACGCAATTTAGTGGCATACGCCTGGCAGCTTAATCCATTCATGGGTGTGCGTGTGTGTGGCTAAAGTTGGGCCTTTAGAATTGGTTAATGAGTTGTGGTTCATCATAGTTTACAGCCAGACGTGGACTTGGTCAATGGACTTTAATGTTCTTCGTCAGGAATTAAATAAATACAATTGGCTTTCCATAAAAATGATTATTCTAAAAGTGTTTGTGAGAATTAAGCTTAACTAGTTACCAGCAAAATCGGATTAAAATTTGAAAGTTTTGGTAAATCTTAGT